CACAATAGACGCTCAGACTTTGAAAAATTTTTTTCTTTAATTTTTGTTTCGAAATGGAAGCCAAAGTCTCGGTTTACTGCAAGTATTTTATTGATTTCAAAGATGAAAAATGAAGAACCGACAAACAGCTGATATCGAAAAAATGTACTGCTTTCCACAATAGGACTAATATGAAACTCCTCAACTGACAACAACAAACATCACAACCATCACCACCATCAAATGTTCTTCGAAAGCTTAATCTCCCAGGTGGACATCTGCGGCAGCGTCTTCACCAGCTCCTCGATGCCCTCCTCCAGCGAGATGGTGGAGCGGAAGCCCAGCCGCTTGATCTTCTCATAGTCCACCTCGTAGTCGCGTTTGTCGCGGTCCTCCCCTTCCCCGGCCAGATTCAGGCGACAGACGACGGAGGGCGGCATCGCCTGGACGATCTTCCGCGCCGCCGTCTCCTTCGACATGTTCATCGACTCGTCGCCGACGTTGAACACCTGCCCACGCATCTGCTCGTACTTGGCCAGGGCGAAAGCAAAGGCGGCGGCCGCGTCGCGGACGTGAAGAAAGGTGCGCCGGAAGGCGCCCTCGTAGAGGTCGATGGACCGCTCCGTCAGCGAGCGGTACGTGAGATCGTTCACCAGCAGGTCGAGGCGCATCCGGTGGGAGACGCCGAAGAGGGTGGCCAGGCGGAGGACGACGGCGTTCGGGCCCCGTGAAGAGGAGGAGGAAGATCCCTTCGAAGCTGGTGATGAACTTCGAGAGAGGACAATCTCCTCGGCGGCGGCCTTGGTGCGGCCGTACAGCGTCAGCGGACTGATGGGCGTCATCTCGGTGCAGACGCCCGAAGCAACTGCTCCATAACAACTGCCCGTCGAGGCGAAGACCAACTTCTGACTGCCATTGTCCATCAGCTCGACCAGATTCCTCGTCCCCGTCTCATTGACGGCCACCGCCAACGCCTGGTCACGGTCGCAGGCGGGGTAGCCGACGATGGCCGCCAGGTGGACCACTGCGGTGATACCTCCACTGAGAGCAGCCTTCAACGCCCCCCGGTCGAGAATGTCGCCCTTGATGATGCTAAGATTGGGGTCGGAGGCGACTGGCAGCAGCGGGAAGATGCCGTACTCGAAGCGGTCAAAGACGGTGACGCGGTAGCCGCGGTCGAGAAGAAGGGGAACCAGAGCGGAGCCGATGTAGCCGGCGCCGCCGGTGACGAGGACGTGTTCTCCGGTGGGCGCCGACAGTGACTTGCCGTTGCTGTACTCCGCTGGTTTGGTCATCGTCGAAGAGGTGGTGGTAAGCTTGTGCTTCAGTTCTGGTGGCTTATGTACTGACTGACAGGTTTGTCTTCCCCTTTTTCTTGTACAGCTGCAGCTCTATCGTTTGGCCGACGTGACTTCTGTTCTGATGTAACACCACCACCACCACCACCACCGTACTGGACTGCACTTTAGTGCTACTGATGAAGAGGATGATGAAGAGACCCACTTGTGTCACTCACCACCGAAGGCGCCGCCAGTCGATTGCAAAAGAAAGGCAGAGATTCGGCGGAGTGATTGTACTGGAGCAGTGGTGGTGGAGTGGTGATTTATCTCAGCACTGAACAGCACAGAACAGCACACACCAGGACATGGATGTTACAATGTGTACTGAAGAAGTGGAAGAAGTGATCATTGAAGAAAAAATGAAGAAATCCTCACTGGTGCTCGTCAGTACTGTCTTCTCTAGTCTGCCTTCCTCCTCCTCTTTTTCCACTCTCATTGACCGTAAATTCCATCACTACAACCACTTCACGAATTGGCGGACCACGCTCTGGCCGCCTGTTATAGCATCATCTGCTTATCTGCCATGCTGTATCATCGACTGCGCCAAACTGGTACCTAGTACAAACAGAAGTAGTAGTAGAGGAGGAGGAGGAAGAAGAAGAGGATGAAGATGTATCTGTTTGAATACACTGTGCAATCCGCATGCCTGCAGGCACAATCGATGATAAGGGAGAGAGAGCTGAAGAAGAGATGCTCAATTTAGCCACTTCCACTTCAAGCCATATCGGCGGCGTAGAGTGTGCATTGCTGCTGATGATGATGTTGAAAATGGTGATGCTGCTGTCGTCTGATACATCAGCAGCAGCAGCAGCAGCAGCAGCAGCAGCGACATCGACTAAAAAGTCGATTTTTTCAACAAAACTACGAGAAACTTCTTTGGTCGTCTTATCAAGGCCACCACCACCATCTTGTCCATTATCTTCTTCTTCTTCTTCAGTTCACTGTCGAAATGTGCACTCACCGGTGCACAGTGCACAGAGGCAGTGTGGTGATAGGCATCTGCTTCAACAGAAAAGGACGTAATAGCCGGCGCGCACTACTGGCGCCGAAACATTTTTGTGTTTAATATCGCCAACAGCAAACATTCACATCTGCCCACCCGAAACATGGTTGCTCCACACTTAAAGAGGAGGAGGAGGGGTAGTGGTACATGCAGCAGAAAAGAAATGAAAAAGATTAAAGCGGAGAGATAAGAAGAAGAAAATTAAAAATACTCTCGACTGTGCGGGGGAAAATTGAAAATCAAAGCGAGAGAGATTGGAGAGCAAGTGAGCGAGCAAGCTGAAAATCAAATAAAGCTGCTGCTGCTGCTGCCACCGCCGGTAAGCTATCAAAAGCAAGTTAATAGCGGTAGTGGTCCGGCTTGAAGGGCCCCTCCTTGGGAATGCCCAGGTAGGTGGCCTGGTCGTCGCTCAGCTTGGTCAGCTTCACGCCCAGGTGGGGCAGGTGAAGGGCGGCCACCTCCTCATCGAGCTTCTTCGGCAGTGTGTAGATGCCCAGCGCGTACTGGTTCTTGAAGAGCTCAATCTGGGCGAGGACCTGGTTGCTGAAGGAGTTGCTCATGACGAAGCTGGGGTGGCCGGTGGCGCAGCCCAGGTTCACCAGCCGACCCGAGGCGGTGAGGATGATGTGGCGGCCATTGGCGAGCGTGTAGCGCTCCACCTGCGGCTTGATGGTCACCTTCTCGGTGGCATTCGCCTCCAGCCACTTCACGTCGATCTCGCAGTCAAAGTGGCCAATGTTGCAGACGATGGCGTCCTCGGGCATGGCGAGGAAGTGCTCCCCGCGGATGATGTCCTTGCAGCCGGTGCTGGTGACGAAGATGGAGGCCCGGGGGGCGGCCTCCTCCATGGTGGTCACCTCGTAGCCCTCCATGGCGGCCTGCAGCGCGTTGATCGGGTCGATCTCGGTGACGATGACGCGGCAGCCGAAGCCGCGCAGGCTCTGCACGCTGCCCTTGCCGACGTCGCCGTAGCCGGCCACGACGGCCACCTTTCCGGCGAGCATCACGTCGGTGGCGCGCTTGATGCCATCAACGAGGGACTCGCGACAGCCGTAGAGGTTGTCAAACTTCGACTTCGTGACCGAGTCGTTGACGTTGAAGGCGGGAATCTTCAGCTCACCGTTGCGCAGCATCTTGTAGAGGTTGTGCACGCCGGTGGTGGTCTCCTCGGAGACGCCCTTGATGCCGGCCAGCAGCTCCGGGTACTTGGTGTGGATGAGGGCTAAAGTGAAAAAAAGTAAGGAAAAAGAAAAAGATGAGTTTCCATTTCCCATTTCGAAATGCTACGTGTCTTAGGATATCCTTACCAGTCAGATCGCCGCCATCATCGAGGATCATGTTTAGCGGCTTCCCATCGGGGAAGATGAGCGTCTGCTCGATGCACCACTGGTACTCCTCCTCCGTCTCGCCCTTCCACGCGTAGACGGGAATGCCGCGGGCGGCCATAGCAGCGGCCGCGTGGTCCTGCGTCGAGAAGATGTTGCAGCTGCTCCACTGGATCTCCGCGCCCAGCTCCAGCAGCGTCTCCATCAGCACCGCCGTCTGGATGGTCATGTGGAGGCAGCCGGCGATGCGGGCGCCCTTGAGCGGCTGCGAGGGGCCGTACTTCTCGCGAATGGCCATTAGGCCGGGCATCTCGTGCTCCGCGAGGACTATCTCCTTGCGCCCAAAGTCGGCCTGCTTCATGTCAGCTAAAAATGGGGAGACAAAGATGTCAGTTGTCAGCTTCAACTAAATAGAGCCCTCAAGAACTACTTACCAACTTTGTACTTGGGCTTCTGGTCGCCATGGGCGAACTTCTCAATGTTGACCGATTGAACAGCGGTGGCCATCTTTGTGTTGGTGTTGGTGGGAATTGTGGTGTCAGTGGCTGGTCGAAGCAAGAACGCGCTCTAAACAGATAGTCAAATCTGGTGGGTGCCGGTGTTTCGGGTTCTCTGGTGAGGTCGCTGGTTGGCGAAAGTGAAAGGACTGAACGATGTCTTCGAGGCGAGACTTTATACCCAAATGCTGACGAGTTGGTCTGGTCTGATTACCAAAGTGCTGAATTGATTAGAAGCCGCCGCTGCTGCTGCTGCTGTAGTGAGCTGAACAATGCAGCAGAAGCAACAGAAAAAACATGTGCTTTCTGGGCGGAGCATGCGCAGAGAGGGTCGATTTTTCGTGCGCTTTCGGGAACATTTTTTGAATTTAAAAAAAATCGGCAAAATCTGACGCTTCTTTAGGTATCTCCTTATCATAATTATAATTACTTAACTGACCAATTAGGGTCATTAAATGTTCGTGGCGTCATGGTGATCATTTCATAAAGAATACTTTTTTATGCCTGTCAAGTGACAACTCGATGTTTGGTGCGATGACACTCTCCTCCGATTTCGCTGCTTCTTCTTTGCAATGATAACAGAGCAAAAGACACGAAGTGATTTTGAAAAGAAGTTCAAGATGGTAACATCGAGAAGCGTTTTTGAGTTGGCACCACCACCACCGGTTAATCGATGGCCAGTACACAAAAAGAGTAAAGATTAGATTAGATTACAAATCGAACCACATTTCACGATGCGAGTTTGATATCAAGTTTGTGTACATTTTTCAAGATCCTCTTCAAGTGTTGAATCTCCAATCGTGCCCGTTGGTGGGGTGTCTTCCACCACCTCGAGAAATCATCACCATCACCACCCTCACTGTCAAGAAACTAAACATGTCTTGAGTCCACTTGTGATCACCACCACCACCACAAGAAGCGGTTGACAACACATTTGAGAAACTCGAAACCCAAAACACTTCTTTTGGCATTACGTCAGTCATTTAATATATGTTACATGGACACGAAATCGAAACACACAAGATTAGATTACAAACAAAATCGCTCAGATGCCAAAGTGCTCCTCGAACTGCTTGCTGGAGATGGCGCCCCGCTTCAGCTTCTTCACCACCCGCGCGTCCATCAGCAGCTCCTCCTGCTCAAGGGCGTCCATGAACTCCCGCTTCTTCTTCCCTTTTAGCTTTCCACCGGTGCACTCCCGCTCGAACTTCTCCTGCATCTCGGGGTTTCGCTTGAAGCCAAACTTTGAGTGGGGATGCCTCCTTGTTGTTTCACCCTCTTCATCCCCCTCAGGATCATTAGCGGCCGCACCAGCATTCTTCTTCGCGTAGAGAATGTCCTTAAAGTTGTTCACCGTTCGGGTGTCCTCGGCGGAGCCCCTGAAGGCGGTGGCTCCCTTCTGCTGGAGGTGCTTCGCCTGGCGCAGCTCCGGCATCGCCGGCATCTTCAGCAGCGCGTAGGCGTTGGCAATGTCCACGACGTCCGTCTGCTTGAAGAGAAATTTTGACAGGCAGTGTTTCGAGGCGTAGGTGCGCACAAAGCTGACAAAGGCCTGCACCGACAGCTCGTAGAAGTGAATGTTCCGGCGGGCCTCCGCCTTTGCCCACTTGAGCACCTCTTCGCGGAGGTTGCTGGTAGTGTTGTTGTTGACTTCTTCCTCTGTTGATGTCACTTCCTCCTTCTCCTCCTCAATGTCGACGCCCTTCTCCTGAACGAGCTCCACAAATGGCCGCTCATGAGGCAGGCAGAGGAGGAGCGAATTTCCAGCGGCGTTCACCTGGTGGCCGGACCGGCCGCACCGGTGGACGTAGCTCTCGATGGTGAGCGGCAGGTCAAAATGGACCACCCAGTCCACCTGGGGAATGTCCACGCCGCGGGCCATCACGTCGGTGCACAGCAGCAGGCAGTGCTCCGTCTCGCGAAACTGCTCAAAGATCTTCTGCCGCTTGGCTTTCAGCTTTCGGTGCAGCTTTAGGAGGGTGATTTGGTTGTTGTGGCTGTTGTTGTTGTTGCTCGATTTGCTGTTCGATTTGCTGTTGCTGTTGTGCTGATGATGTGCATTTAGAAACCGACCGAGCAGCTTCTCAAAGTAGTTCACCTGGGCGCAGGTGGACATGAAGATGAGGTACTTTTTGTGCCGGGCGGTGTTCTGCTGCTGACGGACAAAGTTCACCAGGTAGGGCACCTTTTCCTCGCAGGAGCTGAGGACAATAAAGCGGTTCAGAAGGCGATTGGGCATCTGCACCTGACTTCCGCCACCACCACCTTTGTTGGACTGCCTGCTCTTCTCGCCAATCTCAATCTTCACTGGATTTCGCAGGCCCACCCGAATCAGGTCGTCCAGCTCCTTGGTCTGCGTCGCCGAGAAGAGCGACGTCCGCCGGAGCTTCGGCAGAAAAGCGAGAATGTCACCTAGCTTCTTCTCGAAGCCGAGGCTGAGCAGCTGGTCGGCCTCGTCGAGGACCAACACTTCGAGGCACTTGCGCACCCGCTCCGAGAAGTGCTCCGACTTTTCGAGCACGTCAAAGAGGCGGCCCGGCGTCGAGACCACTATGTTCGCCCCCTGGGCCATGTACGTGGCGATGTCTTTGAAGGGATTGGAGCCGCCGATGAGGAGCATCGAGCGAAATTGGACTTTAGGGCTTTCTGAGCTTTTGAGGTGCTCGGTGAAACGGCGAAAGACCTCGTGAATCTGCACTGCCAGCTCCCGCGTCGGACTGATGACGATGGCGCCGATGTCGTGCTTCTTAATCGTCTCCTCACTCGCCTTTCGCAGCAGAATCTCGAGGATGGGCACCACAAAGGCGATCGTCTTGCCGCTGCCCGTCACCGCCTCCACGCTCAGGTCCTTGTTGGTGATGAAGAGGGGAATGGAGGCGGCCTGAACCGCAGTCATCTGCTCAAAGCCGAACTCCTTTCGGATTACCTCCTTGATCTCCGAGTGAACGTTCAGCGAGTCCCAGCTTAGGTTCATCTTCTTTGAGTTGGAGCAAAACAAATTCAGAAGATGAGGTTTAGAAACTGGCGAAAAACAACAAAAACATCAAAAATCTTGAGCACGTGCAAAACAAACATCTCCTAGGGCGCCATCTTGTGTTCAAAATGGCGTGAAAATGAGATTTTATTGAAAAATGGTCACTTTGAAATTTTCGAGGATTTTGAAGTTGGTGGCTGGTAGTCCTCGTCGTCGTCATCGTATTCAACATTATCACCATCATCATCCGATCTTTGGGGCCCCTCGATGTCCTCCGCCGCTTCATCAAAGTTGATATCCGTGAGACTGTCGGCGTCGCTGTCGTGGTCGTCCTCGGTGGCTGTGGCTGTGGC